TCAGTGTGTAGCGTTGTGAAATCTTTCCCACTCGTTTCGCGTGAAATCTGTCATGGGTACATTAGTGGATATAATAGATTTTACTTTGTGTGCTAAGCATCTTAATTCATCAGCGAACCACGCAATGCAATCCGTATCGCGGCGAAACTGATACGTCGATAACGCGTCATTATACGAGCAGTGTACGTAATAACCTATGCTAAATACTTGGTGATGCTGATATTTGTAGCTCGGTGTTTCCGGATCTCTTTCCATTTTTGTCAGGATACATTCCAGGTCGGCATACACGACAAACGGGACACGTTCCTTCCTGCTGTAGTTGTTAAAACTTAGCCACTTGTCGTCTTCACTTGGTAACATGATCGCGCATTCGTTCATCTCGCTGCAATCTATGGTATGGACCTCCAACTTTTCGCTCGAACTAAAATAGTGCAGGCATCTGAAAAATCAATTTATTTTATTTACATTGTTGTATTGTTTATTTTTATTTCAAAAAATTTTTTAATTTTTATTATACATACCTATCGCAGATGTATTTCTTATTCTTCTTTTTGCTCAGTTGCGAGCTCACGAGACGAGACAAATTCTTGATCCATGTGAAATGCCCCACACCATCTTTCTCCACGTATAGCAGGTTGACATGCTTCTCCTTCTTCGTGTCAGCGAGGCGAATCGGTAGGATCGATACTTGTTCCTTGTTCTCAATGGTATATACGTTGATTGAGATTGCGTTGAGATTCTCAAACTTTTTTATTTGACTTAACGTCATTGGAAATTCAATGTCCTTGAGATTTAACACAGATTTATAATGCGGATACGACGATTCCAGGTCTGTGTTACTTTTAGCTGGATATAAAGCGGCTACCACTGACCATGCGAAACATGCATTGTCCATAGAGCGCACGTTCACAACCGCTCTCTTCGTCATAATTTCTCGCGGTAACTGGATATAACACCCCGCGTGCAAAGGATTAAACTTATTTATATTAACTAGCAAGTTCAATATACGCGATAACGCCCACCCGCTGTCACGTTCTTGAAATTCTTCCAGCGACGCTAAGGTAGGCTCAACAACGCGCGAATCGTACCACACGCGTAAATCGGAACAAAGATAGAGTTGACAGTTTCTCGTAATAATACTTTTTTTATTATCACGTTTGTCACCCGTTACGAATTCACCGTTGAATACAGTGTTTATCTTAATGTTATTATGTCTCTGCATAACATTTCGCACATTCGAGCACAATTTCTCGCGCATCTTTCAGAAACTGTCGAGGTTCAATGTGTCTGGAATTTATTACTGCGCCGGTCAGTATACGATTATTGAAAGCTGCGTCTATCTCACGCCATCTGAGTCCAGCACTGAATCCGGCGCCCACATGCACGAACCATCCGCGGTGCGCGCACCGCATCTTTCAAACTTTCCAGTCGCGCGATACGAGCGATGACAGATTGTCTCACACCGATCGGCAATCGCGGATTTCGACTCTGCTCATCGAGCGAATCGATGAATTCGTCGACACGCTCTTCACACGCGATAAAGTCTTCTCGCGTAATCAGCCTGGTGGCTTGCTTGTCCAGATCTCTTATCGTTTGCTCCATATTCTTTTTAGCACGAATACACAAATATATCTTTCTCACTCTGTGCAAATAGGGCACATGTTACACGGCATTATTTGAAACAACGGACATTCGCATCCCCAGCATGAATAACCATCGTGGAGTATAAATTCTTCGGTAGTGTCTTCGCAAGAGACGAAGATATGAAAATTGATTATTCCCTCTAATGACACATGAGGAACAGTATCTTCTCAAACTTTCGTCTTCTTCGTCTA